GACTCTTGACTTTGCGCTAATGAAGGTGACTTGCAGAATCATCAAATCAGGCACACAGTATAAAATAAGACCGTGTAGAAGGGAGTAGGAGACAAGGAGAAGTGGATGAAGGGAAAGATACTGTCATGGGACTGCACACTCATGCCCCCTGGATGTCAAGTCCTTGACAGATTTTACTAAGCCAGTCAAAGCCAAGCAAGTTCCAGGGCTTGATAGTTTGCTGAAGGAAATAAAGCTGTTTGAAACATTTAGTCAGTCTGCAATATAGTAGGTCCACTGTTAGAAAAATCTGAAACAAAAATCTACTACAGAAGTGAAGGAAAGCCTTTATTATACTTCTCATGAGAGAAGTGGGCACATTGCACTCTAGTAGTACGTGGGCGCTGGTTCAGTGATAGAATCAAGTTTTAAATAGTAAGATCCATACTCCACCCACCAGAGCTAGGATTGGTCTAGTTCATCTGAGTGACACTCTTCCTGAACAGCCCATCCCATGTTTCTCCATGTTCTGTTAACTCCTCCCACTTCAGGCATCCCATGTTCAAAAATGGCGGCTATCTCTGCCCTTGGGATGTGTCAGTTAATATTCAACAAGCTTATTAAGCAAGCACAGAGGAGAAAAGCCTTTGCCCTTTTGATGCCCTGTCCTTGAACCTGATGAGTTGCAGCTGGTTTAGCCTCCAGGGCTCTTTCTTAAGGAACTAGTTGTTTGCAGAATGTTTGGGGCACTTTCTGATTGGTTGAGGGACTCTCCACAAGATCTTGGAAGTCCTCAGAATCACCTTGTTCTGTTGTGGAAGCCTTACTTCTAATCCTTTCTCACAATATCCCCCTTTTCTGGTAAAGATTTGGCTTCCACACATTCCCAATTTCATTATCCTCTAATCTCTTTAACATGATTTTGCATTCTCCATCACTGGGGGAAGTCTCATTGGTACTTTCAGTCATCATCCTTACATTGCCAGAGCCTGCCATCTGAACTGCCATCTTGGGTCTTACTGGGATAATCTTAGTGAGGGACGTCTCTATCAATCCTCGTACCAGTCCTCTAACACATGGAACTATACAGCATCCTACAGCATTTAATACTCCTGCAATCACAGTTAGATTAGCGATAATGGATATAGCCATTCCTTTTCCATTTGCTAAACCAGCATTCTAACCATCCCTGTAATCAATTATCTATCCCCGAGTACTCTGCCAACTCCTCAGCTAAAGTGGTTAAACCTTGCAATGCCTTAGTGATACTGCTATCTGGGTCTGTGCTGCTGGGCAACATTTCATTTTGGGGACTTAAAACAATATGGGAGGGGCAACTAGGTGGCACAATGGATAGAGCAACAGCCCTGTATTCAGGAGGACCTGAGTTCAAATCCAGCCTCAGACACATAACACTTACTAGCTTGTTGAGGGCCGATCTTAAGAGTCTGATAAGGGTTTAAGATCCAAGGCAGAGTTTGACCTCTGCCCAGGCTTTTACCCGTAAGGGCTCGATGATTAAGTGGTACAGCTCTTCAATCCCTTCCTGATTAGGAGGTCCCTGAGACATTCCTTATTACTCTTTGAACCTTAGATTTACACATTCACTCCTCTATGCAGGTGGCACCAAGGCACCTGGGAAAACCTTGGAAAATACAACCCAATCTAGGAACCCTGATAACGAGGAAATTCATGTTGTCACATCTTCAACAGATGTTCTGGGGAGTATCTCACGGGGAGGACTCTTTGAAGTTATGCTAGATTTTCTATATATATCCTGTACCCTCAGATGAATAAACTGAGTCAGTAATTGTGCTCCGCCTGGCCCATGTCATAAGTTATTTCACACCTCTCCATTCGGTGTACAATCTGGTTGCGGGCAACACTAGCTGTGTGACCCTGGGCAAGTCACATTGCCTAGCTCAAAAAAAAAACCAATATGGGAGAAGGAAGGGAAAAATTGACCAATGCATTGACATATTAATAGGGGGCAGTCCCCTTATTAAGTACAGATACAGAGACCCAAAAGTAACAATAAATTGTCCATTTAAAGCTTCAGAAGTCTCTTCTCATACAGCTGTCTGACACTCAGGACATAATCCAGTGAAGTCTTCTGGTCTAAGCGCTGTTCAAACAGTGTCCAGCAGACTGTCTTCTTCTAGAGATCTTCCTTCTTGCGTCCACTCTTCTACAAGATTTATCTAAACACAATTTTTAAATTACCTTGTCAATAAGCAGGGGAAATAATGAAAGTTAACTCAACCCCCATGTCTCCACCATTATAAGGTCAAATTTGGAACCTTGGCCAATTGTCATATTTTAACAAACTCCAATTAGAAAAATTAGAACCTAGCCTTCCACTCTGCATTACTTCTAGTTTTATATCTTGCATTAATTCATTATTCATTCCTATTCATATTCCCCCATCAGGAGGATGAGATTCCACTAAGGAATTAATAACAGACTCTAATACATAGTAGTTAATTTAAAACCAGTACATATCAAATACTAAAATAATCCCAACCTCTAGTCATGTACAAATAAATAATCCTTAATTAAAATGGATGCTTCTTTTAAGGTATTTACAAAATAAGTCACAAGCTGTTTTTCTTTTCACATTAATTAATTGTAACAAACTGAGACAACTTTAACATTAACTATCTATTAACTAAGAAACAGAATAATATCCTGGTTCCACAATCTCCTGGCCTAATTATTCACATATGATTATGAGAAATTAAAGGACCCTGACTTATTCAGAAATAAACTAATAAGAGATGTCAAGAGTGAATGCTTAATTCTGAAATTCTAGGCCCAATAACTCAATCTAATACTTGCATCTTACTATATTAACCTCAGATGTTTCCACATCAATCTATTGTTTAATAAATTCAGTATTTATGCTTACAAAACTTATGATTATAGGAATTTGCCATGTAAGAACACATACATAACTAAAGTAAGGGAACAATGCTTCCCTAGATTCATGTCAATTCTGGGCAGAAGTGATATAGTAACCAAATGCATTGAGCCAGGTTTAAAGTCTGCCAGGTGTCATGGTAGGGAAACTGAGTCAGGAGACTCCTACCTCAGCCATGCAGAAAAGTCGTTCTCCCGACTTTCCCATGAAAACACCCTCTTGCAGCTCATAGATGCAGCTCACAAACCTCTTTGCTGGTTGCTGACGTCATGGGTCAGTAGCTCAATCAGTTCCTTGTTAACCATACCTGGAGTTAGATTCAGAATAATAGTTCATTAACAGTCTCCAAGGTCTTAGATAGCAAATTCCCCTCATCAGGGTTTCAGGTGTGCCTATAGTTTCACATTCATTAGAGAACATCTCCGAAGTGAGCTCTAAGTAGTTTAAGTTCCTACACATGTTCTGCTGGTTCCTAATAACATCCTGAGTAAAATCAAGTTTCCATTAAGATCATAAGTTGCTACTCTAAATAGATTTGCTTCTCTTTCTTAAGCTTTTTTATCCCTCACTAACCATTCTTAATCTGAAAGAATGAGACACATTCAGAACTCGAATCTTATACATATGATGAATTCAAACAGTAATTTTAACTCTTTCTAGGCCATGGAATGAATTAAGATCAAAACAGTAAGATCTTTCCTACTTGTAGCTTATTATAGAAATTTAGATGCTTTAGTATTAATCACTAGTCTTAGATCTCTGATGCTGCTTCCATTGAGACTATTTCTCTGAGAGCACCCAGTTGAGTCCAATCCAAGGACACAAGAAACCCAGGAATGAAACTCTTAAGCTTATAGGAGGTTTGGACATAATTTTCATCAACAACAAATTATTACTGCAGCAAATTAACTTACAGAGAAATTTAGTAGGCCCTCTAAAGGAATATCAAAGATCCCAGGAACCAGCAGTACTACCTATAGGCATTCTGTGCAAGATAAACTTAATCAAACTGTCAAGATTTGTGCCAAAGCCACAGAGTCCTACTCACCTGCACCATTTTCCCTTCTCTGGTCCCTAGGGATGCATCTCTTAAGACTGAAATAAGATCATTTAAGTTTTAAGGCATTTTGTAAACTTTAAAGCACTATATAAAGTCCTATACTGTTTAGGGATAGGGGATCGGGTAGGGGCTGGTGGCAAAAAGTTGTAAAGAGTAGCAATCTGGGCCAGGTGTCAGGAGAAACTTTCTAGCAATGAGAGCTGCCCTAAAGTGAGATGGACTCCCTTGAAGTGATGCTTGGACCCTCCCTGGTGTTCTTCAATCAGAGGCTGCATAACCACTTCTCAGGTATGTTATAGTGGGAATTCCTTGTAGGAAGAGGGTTGAACTCAATGGCCTTTCATATCCCTTCTAGCTTTCACTTTGTTTGATTCTTTGGTAAAGAAAGTTCTGGAACTGCCTCTGACACTTAACACCTGTGTGTCCAAGGACAATTCCCTTCCCTCTCTGAGCCAGTTTCTCCTTCTACCCTGGGTGGTTGTCTATAAAAGTTAAAGTGAGAGACAGTATGGTCCACAGACCCTCTACTACCCATATGCAGGTGAAATGTTGGTGCCAAGGGGCATCCTTGATGCCACTGTCACATGCCCAATCCTTGTGTGGGTACTTAAGCTCTCCCAGAGCTGCTAGAGGTTCAGTGTCATGGCCGGGATACCACCCCTTATGGAATCATGCAGAGCAGTCAGACTGTTGCCCAAACCACAGCTCCTGCTCTCCCTCACACCATCCTCTATCAGCCTTTCCAAGACACCTATCTCCTAGACAGTTTTCCCTTGACTCATGGAACTTTCTTACAAAATCAACCCTAGCCACCATAAATTCTCAATTCCTTCTGAAGATATTACCTGCTTTGGGGATTTTGCCAGCGTCTGCTTGTTTGATATTTGTACTTTCTTTGTCCTGCAAGAATCATTATTCTCAACTTTAGCAGTTTTCAATCCCTATACTTTTCTTCAGGCTCCATCAGAAGAAGAAACGATTTGTAAAATAACGATAATTATGACTGTCTACATATTCATATGTGTGGGTGTGTACTTTGAGTTTTTCCCCAGTACGGGCCCTGGTGCAAAGTGGAGTAATGTTGTCATCCAAGGAATGACTGGAGAGCTCCCCTGAGGGTAAAGGGCCTCACTGGCTCCACAGACTTCTTAAAGAAAAGATCCACCCCCAGATACTCTCTGCCTCAGTCTGTCCAGGTAAGAAGACCACTGTTCCAAACCTATATTTTCCTTGTTGACTTCCCAAGGTGTCGTAGATTGGGGGGGGGAGAGAGAGAGAGACAGACAGACAGAAAGAGAGGCAGAGAGGGAGGGAGGAAGTGAGAGCAAGAATTTCTTGGGCGCTTACCATGCAGCAAGCACTGTGCTAAGCATAGGCACTGAGTTTATCTCAAGGGAGGGATGAGGGGGTGGGCAAGGCAGCAATTAAGGAGACAGAATGGGAGAATTCGGGAGAGGGAATCCAGGCCATTGTGAGGTGAATCGTGGCTTGGGACATGAGAGGCCATCATAGCCAACCTCAGTTTTACAGATGAGGAAACGGAGGCACAAAGCAGTTAAATGATTTCCCCAGGGATGCATAGCTAGCTGAGGCAGGGTTGCACTCAGGTGTTCCTGACTCCACTTGCAGTGATGTATTCACTGCACAGCTGGGCTCTTTATTCTCCATCACTTCCAAGTACAATAAATTAATAAATCCTGTCATTTCATCCCTCTTATTATCTCTGCAGGGTGTGTCCCCCTTTTCATCTCCAGTACCACAACAATTACTTTAAGCTGTTCTCCTCAACTAGAATATCATCATGTTGTCATCCTAAGTCTTGGATCACTGCAACCATCCACTACCTCCACCCCTATATTCCTGTTGAGCAAAGCTGGAGAAATGGAAAATATGGATATTCAGTGAAACAGAGGACCTACAAGCATTCCTGATGAAAAGACCAGAGCTGAATAGAAACTTTGACTTCCTAATACAAGACTCAAGAGAAGTATAAAAAGGTAAACAGGAAAGGGAAATCATAAGGGACTTAATAAGATTAAACTGTTTACATTAGTACATGGGAAGATAATATTTGTAACTCATAAGACCTTTCTCATTATTAGGGCAGTTAGGAGAAGTACACATAGGCAGAGGGCACAGGTGGGAATTGAATATGAAGGAATAATATCTAAAAATATAGATTAAGCGGTGAGACAGGAATGTACTGGAAGAAAGATAAAGGGAGAGACAGAATGGGGTAAATTACCTCACATAAAAGAGGCAAGAAAAAGGTTTTACAATGGATGGGAAGAGGGAGAAGGGGAGCGGGAGTGAGTGAACCTTACTCTCATCAGAATTGGCTCAAAGAGGGAACAATATACGCATTCAACAGGGTATTGAAATTTCTCTTACCCTACAGGAAAGTGGGAGAAGGAGGGGTGTGATAGAAGGAAGGGCAGATTGGGGGAGGGGATAGTCAGAAGGAAAATATTTTTGAGGAGGGACAGGGTGAAAAGGAGAGAGACAATAGAATTAATGGGGGGATAAGATGGAGGGAAATACAGTTACCAATAGTAACTATGAAAAATTTTGAAGTACATTTCTCTGATAAAGGCCTCATTTCTCAAACATATAGAGAACTGAGTCAAATTTATAACAATAAAAGCCATTGCCCACCAGATAAATGATTAAAAGATATGATCAGTTTTCAGATGAAGTAATCAAAACTATATATAGCCATATGAAAAAATACTCTAATTTATTACTGACTGGAGAAATGCAAATTAGAACAATTCTGAGGTACTACCTCATACCTATTAGCTTGGCTAATAGGATAGAAAAGGAAAAGTAGAGATGTTGGAGGGGATATGGGAAAAATGAGACATTGATGCACTGTTGCTGGAGTTATGAATGGATTCAACCATTCTGTAGAGCAATTTGGAACTATGCCCAAAGGGCTATAAAACCATTCATACACACCCTTTGACCTAGCAATACAACTACTAGGTATATCTCCCCAAAGAGATAAAAACCAAAAAGGAAAAGGACCTGTAAGTACAAAAATATTTGTAGCACCTCTTTTGTGGGGGCAAAGAATTAGAAATTGAGGGAATACCCATCAATTGGGGAATGGCTAAACAAGCTGTGGTATGTGATTAGGATGAAATACTATAGTATTATACGAAAAGAAGAGCAGGATGCTGTCAGAAAAACCTGGAAACACTTACATGCATTGATGCAAAGTGAAATGTACTGTGTACAATGTAACAATATTGTAAGATGATTAGCTCTGTATAACTTAGGCATTCTCAACAATACAAAGATCAAAGACAACTCTGAAGGACTTATGATGAAAAATGCTATCCATTCCCAAAGAACTGATGGTGTCTGAATACAGATTGAAGCATTTTTAAACTTTATTTTCCTTGAGTTTTTTTGTCTATGTTTTCTTTCACAGTGTGACTATTATGGATATGTTTTGCATGACTACATATGTATAAGTTGTATCAAATTGCTTACCTTCTCAATGAGGGGATGTGGGGAGGGTAGAAGGGAGAGAATTTGGAACTCAAAGTTTGAAGAAGGAATGTTAACAATTGTTTTACATGCAACTGGGGAAAAATAAAATACTGAAGAAAAAAAGTTATGATACTTTACTGTTTGGAATTTATTAAACTGTCAAAAGTAGCAAAACAAATGTGAGGGATTATATTTTCAATATTAGATTACCAATAAAATATTTGAATAAGAAAGGTTATGTTTTTTGTTTTGTTTTTTTTACTAGCCTTGGACGGGCCAGTTAGGTGGTGCAATGGATGAAACACTGGGCTTGAAGCCAGGAAGATCTGGGTTCAAGTTTGAGCTTACCTACTTACTAGCTCTATGATCTTGGGCAAGTTACTTAATCCTGATTTGCCTCAGTTCCTCATCTGAAAAATGGGAACACACAAGAGAAGGAAATAGCAAACCTCTCCAATATCCTTGCTAAGAAAACCCAATGGATAACAGTCTACGGCATCCCATAAGGTCAGCCATCACGAGTGACTGAAGAACAACAAGCCCCAGGCAACTAGGCTAATATTTAACTCAATTCCTGATTTCACACTGGTAAAGTCTGACTCAAACTTCATATTTCTTTCATAAATTTCCTTCAAAACAAAGATCAGTGTTTTGGGGTTTTTTTGTTTGTTTTGTTTTTGCATTTCTTTCCTCAAAATGTTTGACTCCTTTGGTTGGACAATTAAGGCTTTATCCACCTAAGCACAATGGAGGGTAAAATCAGCTGCTATGAAGTACTTTTTTGTTTGTTTTGTTAACCATGTGTATATTTGTAACCAACTTGATTTCAACTAGACAACGACCTGGGAAAAACTTTCTAGACACACTACACCAAGAATTTTTTATTTGATGTTACATTAAAATACACATTTATAGCATTCAAAAGAGATTGCTTTATAAAATTCTAAAGTTTATTTAGACAATAAGATAAACCTTAGTCTTACAATACAGTCCTGAAGATAAAGATTTAATGTTAAGTACAGTTGTATGAAGCACTATTTATAGATTCTGGATGCAGAGCTTTACTTAAGAGGAAATGCAATGAAATCATATATTCTAATGAATATCAGTTTCACAGCACAATGTCATCTGGGTTGTCAGTAAGATTGAAGGAATGTCCACTGAATGGCAGAGCTCCAGTTTTTGCACAATAAACATGATGACGATTCTACTGAGAGCCTGATCACAGAGTCCCCGGAGTGGGAGGTTGTATTGTGACACGAGCACAGACACTACACTAATGTGTGTGACAGCACAGCGACAGCAAACTAAGGAATGTCTCTTATTTCAGAAATAAGGCTGAGCCTTGTGAGGCAGCCCTGCCTGTGCAGCTGAGAGAGGCCAGTCCTGCTGCTACAAAGGAATGCCACACCCTCCGCCACTGGCAGTGCCACATGACTCTTCACTCCAGTCCTCTTAGGTGGGCCTGGACTGTCCAGCGGGCATTGCAGCCACTGCGGAGAACGGGCACAGTCCTGTCCAGATACTCCGCCGAACCTGCGTTTGCACCCTTCATTATCCACCTGCCGCCCACAGGAGTCCCGTCTGAGCGGAGGGCATCCCCGCGGACACCTGCAGCCTTCTTCTACCGGGGCTCCCCAGCATGTTCTGGGTAGAAGATGCCCCCAGGGCAAGACTGGGGCAGCGATGTGAAACCGTGAATGTCTTCTGACCACATGGGACAGTTCTGCCTGGGGGCATTCTCAATGCACTTGCGATACCTTTGCAGACTCAAGGACAGGCGCAGGCGACCTTTCTTGCTGTTTTCTTTTTTAATTTTTTCATAGGTTGCATTTCGAACAGTGAAAACATTCTTCCTTTGGACAAATCCTCCAAATTCCGCACTTCTCACAACGGTATTGCTTCTTGTCTTTGTCAAAGGAGGCATGCAGCGCACCCTCCTTCTCCCAACACGGTGCCACCTTCTTCACAAGCCCGCTGAGCACTGTGAACCTTCCCACACTCTGGGCACTGCACTTGTGTCACTTTAAAGGGGCCAGAGGACAAGCTTCCTTGTTACCATGGCGGCAGAGGCAGCAAGGCGCATGCGCGATCCCAGTGTTCCCAGATCCGGCGGGTTCATCCCTCACCGTCTTCACCCTCTACCGTCGCCACCTGGTACTCCTCCTCCCGCCCAGCGCCGGGTCCCAGCCCGCGGTGGAGCCGGAGCCGGAGCCCGGGATTGGGCCAGTGATCAACCAGGGACGCTCTAGGCCACCTCCGCCTCTACTGTCTGGTCGCGCAGACGCACCGGGGCTAAAGATCGTCGTACTTCCGGGTCAGAATTCATGGGGCAGCTTCATGGTACCGCCGCCTCCACTGCCCGGCAGCGCAGCCTCACCAGACCGAAGCGCCGCGGGATACGTGACGTCCCTCCAGATAGTCGTACTTCCGGGCCAGAGATCAGTCGAGGCCGCTCTAGGCTACCGCCGCTTCTACAGCCCGGCCGCGCAGCCGCACCGAGCCGAAAGATCGTGGTACTTCCGGGTCAGATATGAGTCCGGGCCGCTCTAGGCCAACGCCGCCTCTACTGCCCGGCCGCGCAGCCGCACTGAGCAGAGGTGTTGGGGATTAGGAGGCCTCTCTCCAGACAGCTGTACTTCCGCTTCCTGGGAAGCCCTGCTGTGATGTCTTAGCCTGTATCGGATGACTTTAATAAGATCGAGAGTTTAATAGGTAATTTTAATGCTGATGATTTAGTCTGGATTCATATTGACCCTGAAGGACTTGAGCACTTTAGACATTTAGACTTTTATTCAGTTCCATTCTGCCTGCTTAGCCAGGAAGGAGCTGTAACATGGGCTTAAATTCAATAAAAATATGGTTTAAAATGAGTCAGAGGTTTGAACACAAGACGGGAAAATAAAGTGTAAGATCTGCATTGGCCACAAGATAGACATCTCCATGGTATAATAATATATTCCTGTCTCATTATACTGCAAAATTCCATCTCTCCACAAGATCACACCAAAAAAGTTGCTAAATTCTACAATATCAAGTTTCACCATGTGATGTCACCGAAGACCATTCTATGATATTCCTCGATCTTTATGACCACCAGATGTCATGAAAAACTGACATCATCTTTAATGGCACTAAATGGGTCAAAAGCATTTATTACAAGCCTACTATGTGCCACACTGTGCTCTGGGTACTAGGAGTCCAAAGATAAACATGAAACAGTCCCTGCCCTCAGAGAAAAGCATGTCCTAGTGATGGAGAACAACTACATGGCTAATACAAAACTCCGTATGCCTGGCCCATAAAAAGAGGGAGAAGACACATCTCACCATTTATTTGCAGAGGTGCAAGGTCCACAGGGTCAGCAGCACGAATGTACTTTCAGATATTTTCAATGTATTGATTTGTTTTGCAGAATTTTTCTTTAAATTCTTTTGTTCTGTTGGATGGC